GACTCTTTTGCAAACACCTTAATGTATTCGCGATACTGCTCCGGAACCGCGTCCTCCGTCATCTTTTCTCTATCTCTATCTGCCTCCTCCGCCATCTGCTGTGCCTGAGTGGCCTTGACACGCAGGTCTATGTGCTCCGCAAAGTCGACCATCAAGATCGACTCACCCTCCTCGAGCGCTTCCTCCGGCTTCCAGCCCTCGGTTTCCTCGGTGCCTTGCATGTTGCACTCGGGCGGGCACCGACTGAAGGTAATTTTCTGAGACCTCCAGTCGATCTCGGGGTTGTGTTTAAATAACCAGTCGTATCCGATAAATACACGGGCCTTCCCGAGATTTGTAACCAAGAACTTTATTCGTTCCCGGTGGAGTCCAACTCCCATAATTAATTCTGCGTAATGCGTAATCCGTCCTCCAAGGTTCTCGGATCCGTCCGCATTCCGTGCGACAATTTTCTGGTCAAGCTCTCAGAGCTCAAAGTTTTCTGCTTTGGCGTACGCCCGATCAATGCACGTGGTAGTGCAGCCGTTGTTCAGCAGCGCCTTGATACGGCGTGTCTTCCCCGTGTCCGGAGACATCAGCTCCACCGACACCAGCATCTCATGCTGCTTCCGCTGCTTCTGGAACTCCCGGAGTTCCTGCGCTAATAGGTTGTCTGAGATACCCATCGCGCGTCGTGCAAGCCACCTGGCTGCCTCCTGCTTCTTGAGTCCAAAGGGGACTCGTGTGTGTTTTGGCGCTTCCCCCACAACTGTGGGTTGAGCCATCGCGGTAGCACCGCCCTTTTTATCCGCACTATTTTTCTCACTGGTTTGGGTTCCAGGGGCCTTTTTAAATAAACTCCAACGCTTGTTTACTTCGTCCATTCTACGGTTTTTAATATTACGGATGCGATTCAGATTCTCTAAAATACGTATTTGTTTTTTGTCTTTTTCTACATCTACTCCTACTACTATATTGTCCTGTGTACGTAGAGCAGTGCGCTGTTTTATATAATCTACAAAAGAACTTCGGGTCTCGGTCGGTTCCACCTCAAGCGGAACATATTTATTTAGGGGAAGAGAAGCGGGGGGCGCCGATTCGGCCTTGATCGGGGCCCTCCTTAAAAATCCTGGCCATACATGGCCCGGGCCTGGTCAAAGAGGAATTTGAAATCCTCCTTCGACATCTCGTTCGTCCGCAGAGCGCGGACATTGATCTTTCCACGCTCCCGGCGTGGCTGTGGGCACTCGCGTGCCATGTGGCCTTCATCGCCACAGTTGTAACACTTGAAGGGTTTCCCCTTCGACTTCGAAGCATCCACGTCCATAGGGGCTACTTCCCCCGGACCGAGCTTCTTCGCCAAATTTGGCGCAGTTCCCCGGTAATTACCGCTGGGTGCGGGTGGGGGAGGTTTGGCGGGGACCCAGAATGGAGTCCCGGCCGACTTCGGCTGCTGCGCCTTGCACAGTTTCTGCCGCTCTAGGATGCGACTGATCGTCATCATCCTGGCCTTCATCCCGGCATAATCCTCCGGGATCTCTACGCCCCCGGCATAGAGCTGCGTGCGAACCTCCTCGTTGACGAGGTTCTCTAGGTTCTCGCACAGGAACTGGTTGTGGTGCCCGTGCAAGTCGTCGTGCGGGTCGTATCCCGCCTCCTCTGCGTTCAACTCGAACGCCTGGATGAAGTCCGCCAAGGCGGTCTTCCCTTGCCTCGTGGTGGTAAGGCGAATGTACGCTGTCTGGCGCACATTGTGGTCCCTGAACGTCCTGCCAAGGTCGTCCAAAAAACCCTTGAAGGAATATCCTTCCGGTAGCTCGTCGTCCTCGTCGAGCACTCGCTTGCGCCAATTACGGACCCAGTTGGAAGCTGGGCTGGGCGCGCCGTCCTTGCTGCCGAGCAGCGAAATCGTGAAGGCAATTTTTGTCTTCGGGGTGCGAAACTCCGCCTCGTATGCCCAGATGTAATTTCCGAGCGCATCTTTCCAAGTGTCCCACTTGGACTTGTCGTTCCCGTCAAAGTGCGGCGGGAGAGAGGCGAGGGTGATCCGAGAGGATGAGATTCTCGGCGTGGGAGCAAGGGGTTCGGGGTCGTTCATCTGCACACTAGGCGCAGGGGATGGGGCACGGCTTGGCCCCTGGGATGCGGCGTGGTGAGACATGTCGGTGAGGGTCGGGAACGAGTGGTAAAGGTGTGTGGCGGGGGACGGTGAAGTGGGCGGCGCAGTAGGTGTGGGGAGTATCAAGGGAAGAGGCGGTAGATGTGTAGGTACGCCGTGAGGAGGAGGAGGTGGTGGGTGCACGGAGGGAGACGACGACGACGATGATGACTCTGAAGAGCCGGTGCTAGAGGGTGCGCGGAACAGCGCGACTGGTCTTCTTCCGCACTAAGCGGTTGGTGGGGTCCGTATCGGTCTTTTGCGAACAGAACTATCCCGGGTCTTCTACAACACCCCCGGCGATAGCGGGATGGGCCTCTCCGAGGATCTGCCCAGTACCCCTACGACTGCTATTGTACTTGGGACGGACTCAACGTTTCCCGTGGTACAGCGTCTGTCTGTTATAGTGGTCCGATACGGGTTGTCGGAAATGGAGGAAAGGGAAAGGAGGTTTGGAACGAGTGCGCGAGCGCGCGAGATGGTGAAATGGTAATGCTTACGCAAATAGTGCGTGGGTGGTGGTAAGGTGAAGTGGGGTGAGAGCGAGGTATGACGGTACGGGTGGTACGAAGGGGAGTCTTTTATTATGTCACAATCAAAGCCTTATCTCGTCCGACTATACAGAGATAGCGGATTGGGGAGTGAGATGCGCAGGACTTCGAGAAATGAATCGAATAAAAGACTAAGGAATACAAGAAACTAACTACTCTACTTATACTGTTCTGTGAACCGTGTGAATATGAATTGTGTATGTACTCGGTGCGTAAACCATCCTGCTGCAGCATGTAGTGCCGGAATGTTCTGCAATGTTCTTTTACCATGTGTTTGCCAGGTGTTCAACTATCTAATCTAAGTCCATATCTAATCCCTTCGTTATCTCATCTGTGGGCGCTTCATTAGGCGCCTCCGAGATAGGCGTTGTCGCGATAAGATTGGAATCGAATCGTGACATTTTTCCTGGTAGAAGTCATGCAAAAATGTTGAAATAATTGCCAGAGGTTTAAAACGGGTTTTGTGGCCTTTTCACGACTTCTGCTAGGTAAATTGAGCATAAATATTGAGACCCGTACATCTACCACTCCGGAAAAGCGTGTCATCCTTGTGCAGGGGCCATTGTGCAATACATCTTTGGAATAAAAATTAGTTTTGTAGGGCAGTCATGTTAAGGCATATAGTAAGAGCTTCCAAAGAATTTTTGTGGAATTTATAAGGCCAATATGGTGGTGTTTGAGCACTTGGGAGAGCAAAAAAATGGGAATGATGGCATTGATGGGAGAGCGAAAAATTGATAGGGTAGCAAAAATTGAGATTTGCGGCTCCAGCAGTGCTGTTAGCATCTTAGGCAGATTACTAGGCACCACTAAAAAGGCGGTTTTTTTTTTTTTTTTTTTTTCTTTCTTGGTAACCCAAATAATGCGGCACACTGGCCGGTTCGAACTCGCGCAGGAATTGGGCGTTGCTGACATAATCTGCGACGCGAAAAATTGACCGGATGCAGAAAAAACAACTTCTCTGTATCGTTCGTTCCAATTTTTCGTATGACACCCCAAAGGGGTCAGAGAAAGGTGTTTAACTTGAGGGATGATGAGAAGAGTCATGTATCTTGTTCAGAAGACCGGTTTCATGAGTATATCTCCTTTTGGAAAGGGTGGGAATAATATTCACGTGGTTTGAGCTATCTGGCCCGGGTGGAAGGATAAAAGTGTAGTCATCCCAAGCACAGAGGTGCTTGATCGTCATGAACACCAACTATTTTTTTGCAAACTAGATACTTAGCTTTCGTGGAGCAAACTTCTGTGCTGATCCCTTTTCAGTCGATGTTCTCCGTGGTCCTGGTCCTCAAAAACACCAAGTTGATGTAGGCACGAGACCTCTCACTACTATCTCCTAAGTTTGTGTGAGTCTAAACATTCTAGTGGGTTGAGACACAGCTTTATCAAGGAAAAAACAACTCTGTGGGCATACATGACCCAGCCTGGAATCGCACCACTGCCCACTGCACGCTCCAAGGACAACTGAGTGGATGTGGGTGCGAGACCTCTCGCTACGAGGTCTTCCTAAGTGTATATGTTTACAAAGATCGTGGCTGAAACAAACTTCAAGTTAACGGAAGAAAAGATAACGAAAGACATATCCAGCCAGCCTGGAATCGAACCAGGACTGAACCCCCGCTGCATGAGAAAGGAGCAAGTCAATGCAGGTGCGAGACCTCTCACCACGGGGCCTCTCTCATCCCCATCTTCAACCCGATCAACCCGAATGAACTTCAAGCTCGGTGCGACAGTTGAACATAGGTGGTTGGTGCAGCAAAAAAAAAACCAGGAGTCTCTTATGACCTGGCCTGGAGTCGAACCAGGATTGAAGACCTGCTGTATGCTTTAGATCACACTAAGTTGGTGTGGGTGCGAGACCTCTCGCCATTGGGTCTTCCTAAGCCTATTTGAGTACCGATGTCTAGCGTGTGAAGATGGACCTTTCCAGGAAAACATTAATTACGCTTCAGCCTATGACCCAGCCCGGAGTCGAACCAGGCATACCTGCCGCAGAGCTCTCGCCACCGGGTCTCTTTCACCCCTCTCTTCAACCTGCCCGCACAAACCTGAATGAACTTCGAGCTGCGCGCAGCGGTTGGTGCACCAAAAAACTGGGACGAGGCACATCATGGTCATGACCCAGCCTGAAATCGAACCAGGAATGCCCGCAGTACGTTCAACAACAGCGAAGTTGATGCGGGTGCGAGACCTCTCGCCACTGGGTCTCTTTTCAGCCCATCTTTAACCCAATCAACCCGAATAAAGTTCAAGCTGGGCGCGGCAGTCGAACGCAGGCGGTGGGTGCAGAAAAAAATGATGAAAGCCTGTTATGACCCAGCCTGGAATCGAACCAGGATTGAACCCCCGCAAGTTTACACCGCGATAAATTGACACGGGTGCGAGACCTCTCACCACTAGGTCTTCCTAAGCATATGTGAGTACCGATATTTCATTGTGGTTGGGAGTCAACTTGGGACGAACCTTCGTTAAGGAAAAATGCCATGGGGCCGACTTATGACCCAGCCTGGAATTGAACCAGGTATGCCCACCGTACAACAGACAGACAAGTAAATCGATGCGAGTGCGAGACCTCTCGCCACCGGGCCTCTCTCACCCCTATCTTCAACCTGCCCGAACAAACCTGAATGAACTTCGAGCTGCGCGCAGCGGTTGGTGCAGCAAAAACTTGGCAACAGTCAAATCATGACCCAGCCTGGAATCGAAGCAAGAATCCCCGCCGCACAGCGATGAGAATCTTGAAGTCAATGCGGGTGCGAGACCTCTCGCTACTAAGTCTTCCTAAGCTTATGTGAGTACCGATGTCTAGTGTGTGGAGACGGACCTTTCCGGGGAAAACATCAATTTCCCTTCAGCCTATGACCCACCCTGGAATCGAACCAGGAATGCCCGCAGCACGTTTGACGATCTTGAAGTCAATGCAGGTGCGAGACCTCTCACCACTGGGTCTCTGTCACCTCTGTCTTCAACCTGCCTGAACGAAGGAACTTCAAGCTGCGCGGCGGTCGAACGTAGGGGTGGGTGCAGTAAAAAAACTTGGGAGAATAGTAACCATGACCCAGCCTGGAATCGAACCAGGATTGAACCCCTGCTGGCCGATGATTATCGGGAAAGAGCAAGTCAGTGCGGGTGCTCTCGCCACCAGGCCGCTTTCACTTCATTCCATCCTCAACCCAATCAACCCGAATGGACTCGAAGCTGAAGCTGCGCGTGGCGGTCCAACGCAGGCGGTGGGGCCAGCAAAAAAAGCAGAGAAAAGGTGAATGGTGGATGGCCCACTGGCAGCCTGGAGTCGAACCAGGATTATATTGAACACCCGCCGGCCCATGAGAAAGGCAGAGTGGCAAGTCAATGCGGGTGCGAGACCTCTCGCCACTGGGCCTCTTCCACTTCACCCTACTTTCAATTTGAATGAACCCGAACGAACCTGAAGGTGCGCGCAGCGGTCGAACACAGATGGTGGTGCAGCAAAAAAACAGCAGAGGTGAGAGCAGTATGACCCAGCCTGGAATCGAACCAGGATTGAATGACCGCCAGATACCGAAGATCAACGCGATGAAGTCGATGCGGGTGCGACACTCCTCGCTACTGGGTCTTATTCCTTGTCAGAACACTCTACGTGAGGTGCTGACATTTTGGTCCGGTGAGACGAGCTTTATCAAGGAAAAATGGCTCCTGATGGCACATACATGACCCAGCCTGGAATCGAACCAGGAATGCCCGCAGCTGCTTTGGCGATCTTGAAGTCAATGCGAGTGCGAGACCTCTCGCCACCAGGCCTCTTTCACTTCACCCCACCTCCAACTCAATCAACCAGAATGAATGAACCTGAAGCTGCGCCCTGCGGTCGAGCACAGGGGTAGGTACAGAAAAAAATGATGGTGCCCCTCTATTATGAACCAGCAAAGATCATCAAAGCCAATCTCATGACCCAGCCTGCAGTCGAACCAGCATTGAAGGCCCGCTGTATATCTTGAAAAATAAGCAAGTCAATGCGGGCGCGAGACCTCTCGCCACTGGGCTTCTTTCACACCCATCTTCAACCAAATCAACCTGAATGAACGAACTTGAAGCTGATGGGTGCAGACAAAAAGCTTGGCACCTGTCAAATCCAGTGTTGGACGGTAAGGGGTTATTAAGGGTGTTTTCTGAAGGTAAGGTCTTCCCCCCTTAACATGAAGGGCAAATTAAGGCCTGAAGTTAAGGCGAGGCCAAAAATATGTTAATTTTGCACACTGGCTACACTTGCTCCTTGTACTCGTCCCTGGACCCTCCATAGCCCATCGGGATCCCTGTATGTTCAGCTGCCATCAACTCTTCCCAAGTATCAAGTAAACTAACACCCAGCGGGCAACTACAATGACCCAAAGCTGGAAAAAAAAAACCTCCGAAAGGTTTCGCCGGTCATCGAGGAAGAAAATTGGTGGTCGAGCTTTCACCAAGGGCCGCAAATAGCGGGCATGGTCGGTCGGATGTCGGGGACAAGGTTCAGACGATTGCATAATATTATTTGAAGGTCTTAATTAAGACTTACCAACCGCCAGAGTTGAAGGTAAGACTTCATGTTAAGGGCAAATTAAGTCTTAATTACCTTGACCCTTAACCTTACCGGCCAACACTGGTCAAATCATGACCCAGCCTGGAATTGAACCAGGAATGCCCGCAGCACAATCAACATCCACGAAGTTGACGCGGGTGCGAGACCTCTTGCCACTGGGCTTCTTTCACCCCCATTCTTGACTCGCCCGAACGAACGAACCTGAAGCTGCGCGCAGCGGTCGAACACAGGCAGTGGGCACAGCAAAAAAAAAGAGAAAAGGTGAATGGTGGATGACCCAGCCTGGAATCGAACCAAGAATCCCCGCCGTACGGCGATGAGAATCTTGAAGTCAATGTGGGTGCGAGACCTCTCGTTACTGGGTCTTCTTCCTTGTCTGAACACTCTACGTGAGGTGCTGACATTTTGGTCCGGTGAGGCGAGCTTTATCAAGGAAAAAATGACTCCTGAACGTGCATGACCCAGCCTGGAATCGAACCAGGAAGGAAGGAAGGAAGGACCAGGAGTGCCCGCCGCAAGGTTACACTGCGATAAATTGACACGGGTGCAAGACCTCTCGCCACTGGGTCTTCCTAAGCATATATGAGTACATACCGTCGTTGGGACGAACCTTTGTTGAGAAAAAATATCACCAGCAAGCACTCATGACCAAGCCTGGAGTCGAACCAGGCATACCCGCCGCAAGCAAAAACTAATAAATAAATCAATGCAGGTGCGAGACCTCCCGCCACCAGGTCTCTTTCACTTCACCCTATCTTCAACCCGAATGAACCTGAATGAACTCAAAGCTGCGCGCGGTCGAACACACAGTGGCCACAAAAAAACCATGATACCATTGATAGCCTCTTATGACCCAGCCTGGAATCGAACCAGGATTGAAGACCCGCTGTATGCTTCAAAGAACAATACAGGAGTCGATGCGGGTGGGAGACCTCTCGCTACCGGGCGTCTTTCACTTCACCCCATCTTCGACTCGCCCGAACGAACGAACCTGAAGGTGTGCGGCTGCGCGCGCGGCGGTCGAACGCAAGGGGTGGGTGCAGCAAAAAAGTGAACACCACACATCAATCATGACCCAGCCTGGAATCGAACCAGGGATACCCGCCGCAACATCGAAAGACGAATCAATCAATGCGGGTGCGAGACCCCTCGCCACTGGGTCTTCCTAAGCATATGTGAGTACCGATGTTTCATCGTGGTTGGGACGAACCTTCGTCGAGAAAAAATATCACCAGCAAGCACTCATGACCCAGCCTGGAATCGAACCAGGTATACAACAGACAGACAAGTCAGTGCGGGCGCGAGATCTCTCGCTGGGCCTCTCTGGGCCTCTGACCCCATCTCCAACCCAATCAACCCGAATGAATGAACCTGAAGGTGCGCGCAGCAATCGAATGCAGGGGGCGCACAGCAAAAATCATCTCGAGAAATGGATCATGACCCAGCCTGGAATCGAACCAAGAATCCCGGCCGTACGTCGAGAGGAACAATGGAGTCAGTGCGGGCGCGAGACCTCTCGCTACCGGGTCTCTTTCACTCCCCATCTTCAACTCAATCAACCTGAATTTCAAGCTGCGCGCCGCGGTCCAACGTTGGGGTGGGCGCAGCAAAAAAAAAAGATGAGACCCCTTTTACGACCCGGCCTGGAATCAAACCAGGATCAACTTCCCGCCGGTTAACGGAGAAAGGAGCAAATAAGTCGATGCAGGTGCGAGACCTCTTGCTACCGGCCTCTTTCACCCACATCTCCAACTCAATCAACCCGAACAAAGTTCAAGCTGCGCGCAGCAGTCGAACGCAGGCGGTTGATGCAGCAAAAAGTCGGCGACAATTGAATCATGACCCACGAACCAGGATCGAACCCCCGCTGGCAGATGATCATCGCCAAACAGCAATTTGACGCGGGTGCGAGACCTCTCGGCACCGGGTCTCTTTCACTTCACCCCATCTCTAACTCAATCAACTCGAATGAACCCGAACAAACAACTTCAAGCTGCGCACGGGGGCTGCAAAAAACGCCACACATCAATCATGACCCAGCCTGGAATCGAACCAGAAATGCCCGCCGCCACACAGTCCAACATAGAAATCAATGCAGGTGCGAGACCTCTCGCCACTGGGCCTCTTTCACCCTATCTTCAACCCGAATGACCCGGAACAAACTCGAAGCTGAAGCTGCGCGCGGCGGTCGAGCACAGGGGTAGGTACAGAAAAAATGATGGTGCCCCTCTGTTAGGAACCAGCAAAAAGATCATCAGAGCCAATCTCATGACCCAGCCTGGAATCAAACCAGGATTGAAGACCCGCTGTATGCTTCAAAGAACAATACAGAAGTTGAGGTGGATGCGAGACCTCTCGCCACCGGGCCTCTTTCACTTGTGTCTTCAACCCCAATCAACGCAAACGAAAGAACTTCAAGCTGCGCGCGGCGGTCGAACGCAGGGGGCGCACACCAAAAATCATCTCGAGAAATGGATCATGACCCAGCCTGGGATCGAACCAGGATTGAATGACCGCCAGATACCGAAGATCAACGCGATGAAGTCAATGCGGGTGCGACACTCCTCGCTACTGGGTCTTCTGCCTTGTCTGAACACTCTACATGAGGTGCTGACATTTTGGTCCGGTGAGGCAAGCTTGATCAAGGAAAAAATGACTCGACGACACATACATGACCCAGCCTGGAGTCGAACCAGGATTGAACACCCGCCGGCCGATGAGAAAGGGCGAAGCAGCAAGTAGGTGCGACCTCTCGCCACCGGGCCTCTTTCCCTTCAAGTCATCTTCAACTCAATCAACCCGAATTTCCAGCCGGGCGCGGCGGTCGAACACAAGGAACACAAGCGGTAGGTGCAGCAAAAACTTGGCGATTGTTGGACAATGACCCAGCCTGGAATCGAACCAGGATTGAAGACCTGCCGAGCAACAAAGATCAACGCGATGAAGTCAATGCGGGCGCGAGACCTCTCGCCACCGAGTCTCTTTCACTTCACCCCCATCTTCAAGCCGAATGAAATCGAAGAAGCTGAAGCTGCGCGCCGCGGTCCAACATTGGGGTGGGCGCAGCAAAAAAAAAGATGAGACCCCTTTTATGACCCGGCCTGGAATCAAACCAGGATTGAAAACCCGCTGTATGCTTCAAAGAACAATACAGGAGTTGACGCGGGTGCGAGACCCCTCGCCACTGGGTCTTCCTAAGCATATGTGAGTACATACCAATGTTTCATCATGGTTGGGACGTACCTTCGTTGAAAAAAAATATCACCAGCAAGCACTCGTGACCCAGCCTGGAATTGAACCAGGAGTGCCCGCCGTAAGCCAAATGGACATAGAAATTGATGCGGGTGCAAGACCTCTCGCCACTGGGTCTCTTTCACTTCACCCCATCTTCAAACCAATCAACCCGAACAAAATTCAAGCTGCGCGCAGCGGTCGAACACAAGGGTGGTTGTAGCAAAAACAAGAAGCGAGAAACTCGATGACCCAGCCTGGAGTCGAACCAGGGCTGGTTGATTTCTCCACATGAAGTCCAAGACGTTCATACATTGAATGAATGTGGATGCGAGACCGCTCGCCACTGGGTCGTCTTGAATTTCGTTGTGAGTTGTGAGTGAGTCCGTATCAAGTAGGTACTTACACAGCGCCGAGATGAGTTTTCATCTCTGTGCGGCGAACCCGGGGTTGATCACTTACTGTGCGGCGAACCGGGGGTTGATGGCTGTAACTTAAGCAACTATATCCAGTACTGCATCCCGTGACGATTGATTCTCTCCACGTTGATTCGAGTCCGCGAATGGTGGAGAGAACGGAACTTCAACTTTCAAGGAATTGAGCGTCGGCGGAGCGCAAGCACCGGTATTTGGAAGGCAGTCCGTGCTGTTGACATGGACCGCCGATCTAGATGTCTCTTGTATTCGCCGTTGAACGACGAACTCCGGTCATCGCGTTGGCCCCGCGTTAACGTCGTTTTTCGACAGCGCCAAGCCTAGGACCGTCCAACTTGCAGATTGCCGAACGGCGAGCAGAGGCCGAGTGCAAGTCTGAGTTCTTGTTTCCGAGTAGTTTCTGCCGAAATATGTTCGATTTCGCGGGGAATACGTCGTAGCAGCAGTTGGGAAGGCAAACAATTGGCGGACATGGTGGAGGAGAACAAAAGGCCGTTTGTTTGCGCATGTTTTATTCCATCGCCATTGTCTTTGGCCAATGTATTCCCACTCTCGCCATTGACGACCATCCACAAACTACCCACACACGACCACGACGATGCCCATAACCGCGCGCGCCCTCGAGCCGCGCTCCATAACCCTCGTTCCGACCGCAACATCCGGCGTCCCCGCCTCCACACAAGCAAGCCACTCCGCACGGTCCGTCCGCGTCTCACTTGACATCCCCGCATTCAATCCCCCTCTCAATCTCACTCATCCTTCCTTCCTTCCTTCCTTCCCCGCAGACCATCCCCCACAAGGCACCTCAAATCCGACAAGTACGTCCCCCAAGCGCCGCACAATCCCGCACCGTTGCTAACCTAAAAAAATCGCAAATTGCAGACAACACAAAGCGCCAGTAGGCCTCATCGTCGGCGTCGCCATCGCCATCCTCGCAGGCGTCGCCGCCCTCTTCTTCGTCCGCTGGCTCTTCGTCCGCCGCGCCCGCCGACGCGCCGCCTTTGCCGGCCAGGGCCGCACCCTCGGCGGCCCCGCTGCCCCCCGCCCATCCACCGCCAAACAACAACCCATGTCCGCCGCACCACCCGTCTCCCAACCGCACGCGCAACCGCAACCGCAAACGTACCCCGCGCCACCGCAGGCGTACGCGATGCCCACCCCCGCCCCGGCATCTGCACCTGCCTCGGAGCGCGACGCCGTCGAGCTCGGCGCCTACCCGCCCCAGCTGCCCCCCACGCACGCCAGCACGGGCTCCTGGGGCACCCCCTTCGCCGGCGCCGCCCCTTCAAACACCACCGGACCCGAGCCCGGCGCAAACTCCTCCCCCGCCGCGCGCCAGGCGTACCTCGCCGCGGAGCTGCGCGCGGCGCAGGCGCAGCTGGAGCGCACGCCCAAGAACGCGGGGGCGGAGACGAAGGTGCTCAAGGCAAGGATACGCGGGCTGGAGGAGAGGCAGACGAGCGCGTGGGCGATGGGGTTGGAGTAGCCTTGTCTGCTCGTGTGTGCTGTACGACGACGATTCGGCGGAGAGCGGGCGGAGGCGATGGAGACGGATTTATTGCGCATTTATTGGGGGAGGCGGACGGACAATCTGCGATCTGTTGTGTGTGTGTACGTTCCATCTATTACTATTACTATTCTCCCCCTCCCTTCCACCCACGACCCCACCCACATCTCATCTACGCCCCACCCACACCTCCCATCCCCGCCACACCGACACCCGAACTCCGTACATCTACATCTACCTTACATACCCGCACCCGTGGATTCATGGACGAACGAATAAATGTACTGCATTTGCTTCTGGATATCTCGCCGGCCCCCTTCTTTTCTTTGACTCGCCCGTTCCTCAAGCTCCACCCCCACGCGCTAGCCCTCGCTCTCCGCACAATCACGCGCACGTCCTACCCTCCTCGTTCCCCTCCCCCACCCACAATGGCAACTCCTGGTACCACACCTCGGACGTGGTCCAGCGAAGGACGGCCTCTCCCATTTAGCCAATATCCCGCGTTCGTTGAGGGGGCAAATCCGGGTTCGACTCCCGGCGTCCGGATTCGAAAGCTTGAAGTTAGCACCGAGTTTTTATCCGGATTCGGCGTCCTCAACCTGGGCTTGCTCCGAATGCGTGAGTCGATTATTTGGTTGTTGGTGTATTCACCGACTGAACTAGGGTCGGTACCTCGGACGTGGTGCAGTGTAGCACGGTTTCTCTCGATATCAATTGGGCGAGGGCGTGAGGAGGCAAACCCGGGTTCGAGTCCCGGCGTCCGAATTGCCGAGCGCACAAAACCTTTTACTCCGACTCACTTCCGTCTCGAATTCATCTTCCCTTGCTTCCAGCTTCGTTTCTTGCTCGCATCCCGCTCGGTCCCTCGCACGACACCGTCGCGGTGCGGTTGTTCGTTACTCCGATGCACAATTTTCACGGGTGAGTCTATCGCTTCGGGTTGCGTTTTTCAGCCGTCCGCCGTGCTTATCCTTCTCTCCCATGTAGGTTGTTACATCGGACGTCTCTTTCTGGTGCAATCACCTCTCGGATAGGCGGAGGCAAATCCGGGTTCGACTCCCGGCGTCCGAATTGCAGAGGAGGACAGAGCATCGCAAACCTTTTTGCTCCGATTCAAATTCCGTCTCGGATTGAGCTTTTCTTGCTTCCTCCGTCTCTTGCTCGCATCCCGCTCGGTACTCTCCCGTTGCAGTGATTCCAATGCACAGTTCAAGTTCACGGGTGAGTCGATCGCTTCGTGTTGTCATTTTTCAGCCGTGCTCATGGATCGATTCACCTCACGACATAAGACACCTATGCTGGTAAGTGACCTCGGACGTGGTGCACGGCGCACGGCCTCCTTCGTTGCGGCTCCCACGTTAGTTCAGGAAGAGGTATATTCGGGTTCGAGTCCCGGTCATACTGAGGAGGCAGACCTGGGTTCAATGCCCGGCGTCCAAATAACCAAATTCCGGATGCCTCTGTCCTTTTAGCTTCGGTGGTTTTGTCCTGCCTGACCCAAATGTGAAACTCAGGTCGCTTCGAAGCATCCAGTTGACACGATCATGTCGGTGAGTTCTTGGGTCATCATACTTGGTTGGTATATCCACAGTTTCCACCAAGTAGGTACCTCGGAGACGTGGTGCAGCGCAGCACGGCCTCTTTCACTGTGCAAACACTTTCATGCTGAGGAGGCAAACCCGGGTTCAATTCCCGGCGTCCGAATGACCAGTGACTCAGGAAACACTTACCTTTTACTTAGACTTACTTGTTTTCGACCTTGTCGTCACTACCTACCCTGATTGGAGTCGCTCCGAATGCGTGAGTTCAACTTTGAGTATATATCTTGGTAGGTTGTATCAGCGACTGAACTAGGGTCGGTACGTCGGATGTGGTGCAGGGCAGCACGGCTTCCCTTTCTGGGACTTCCTTACGGTTAGGCGGAGGCAAACTCGGGTTCAATTCCCGGCGTCCGAGTAGCCCACTCCTCCTCACTGTTTTTGCTTCTGTCCTTCTAGCTTCGGTGGTTTTGTCCTGCCTGACCCAAAATCGCGAAACTCAGGAGGTTCAAACTCGATTCGAAGCAAGAGTTGTCGCGATTTCGGTGAGTTCTCGGGTTATCATTTGTACTTGGTTGGTATATCCACTGACTGAACTAGGGTCAGTACCTCGGATGTGGGGCAGCGCAGCACGGCCTCTCATTATATATGACTCGCGTGGTGAGGCCTGTGAGGAGGCAAACCCGGGTTCGATTCTCGGCATCCGAATATCACCCAGTAAGCTTGCTTTCTTTTTTCATATGATCATCCTGTACTGGACCGTCTCGTCTGCCCTCGTCTCGTCCTGGATTGTGTTGCTCGAACTCGATTCGAAGCATCCACTAGCAGTTGTCGCGATGTCGGTGATTTTTTGGATTATTTTGTTTGGTGTATCCACCGATTCAGACTGAACTAGGGTTGGTACTTCGGACGTGATGCAATGTAGCACGGCTTTTTTTTCTGTGACTTCCTTTCGGTTAGGCGGAGGCAGACCCGGGTTCGAATCCCGACCTTCGGATATTGCGCAGCACTCTTGCCTTTTTTCATCTCCCCTTGTCTCTAGTTTGAGCTCGTTAGTTCGAAGCATCCAGTTGTCGCGATGTCGGTGAATTTTTGGCCGTGGATTATTCTACTGGGTTTATTCACACTTTGAACCAAGTAAATACCTTGGATGTGGTGCAGCGCCGCACGGCTTCTCTTTCTGCGACTTCCTTTCGGTTAGGCGGAGGCAAATCCGGGTTCGATTCCCGGCGTCCGAATGTTCCGCCGCGCGGTTTCCTTTTTTCTTTCTTGTTTAGTTTGTCTCGTCTCCTCTCCTCCTCGCTTGAGGTCACGTCGATCGAACTCGCTTCGAAGCCCAATATTGGAGCAATGTCAGGGAGTCCTGGGATTATTTTGCTTGGTGTATTCACACTATGAACCAAGCTGATACATATTCCCTGGGCGATAGTAGCGTGAGGAAGCAAATCCTGGTTCGAGTGCCGGCGTCCCAATCACTAGGAGTAAAAGTTTCTTTTTCCTCTCCTGGTCTCCATAGCTTGAACTTGATTGTTGCTCAAACTCGATTCGACACTTCCAGTTGTCGTGGTTGGTGAGTTCCTGCGTTATCTTACTTGGTATATCTCTGCAAACTGATAACTCGGACTTGGTGTATTATTGCAGTATGGCCCCTCTCATGCCTAAGTAGCTCACGAGGAAGCAAAGCTCCGGCGTCCGAATGACTCTGCACTGATCTACCTTGAGTTTCTAGTTCCGACGCGTCTTACACAGGTACAATCTCGATTCAGCGTCCGTGAGTCCTCTCCATTCTGCTGATTTTACTCGGTATATCCACTGACTGAACTACGCAGAAAATCGGGTGTGGCCCAATTTAGCACGGCTTCTCCTTCTGTGGCGGTTCAGAATTTGAACGGAGGCAAACCCGGGTTCGAGTATGGGAGTGATACTGTCTGCAAAAGAAATGCACAGGCTCAAAAAAGGAAACCCTCACAAAAATGTTCACAGCCTATAGGAACAAGCAAAACTTCACAGGCCCAGCAGACCTTATTTGAAGTCCTGGTATCCGTACTGCAGAAAGACCCAATGGTGAAATATTTCACGGCCTCTCACCCTCGGGGAAGAAGTTGATCGGATTCCCACGGTTGTGATCCCACATTCGGCCAGTTGAGAATATTATTTTACCTCCATTATGGGTGTTTTCATCCGAATACATGTACACACTATGTGCGGGATACACCTATGGGTCCCTACAGTACTCCATTTGACCTGTAATTAGGCCCTACTTGGCAACAGTCCTCCGTGGCTGTCTGGCACTCAAATTCCCTTTGAGGATGCTCTGGTTCAAGTCAAGAGCAGGATGAGCTTTGAAGTCTCTCTCCCGGCTTAAGGCTAATCCAATCATGATTGGTCCACTCAGACATGTGTCCTCGTCCGTAGAGGCAGGGTTGCAGCTCCGTGCGGCAATATAAGTGGATGGGGTTCCTGTCCTGTGGAGTAATACAACCAGTGAATATATGTGTGCCGCCGTGAGGGCAGTGAAAATAAAACTCAGCCGCCACAGGTGTGAGTTTTGTCGATTAGGGGGTGCTACCCTGGGCAGTGACAAAATTCTTCAAACACCGAGGGCTGTGAACTTTTAACCAACATTTGTCGAAGCAGTGAATCTTTTTGCGAAAACGTGTGAAAATATGCTGGGGTGTGTACCAAAACAATTATGAGACAGTATTACAGCCATATTCGAGTCCTGGCGTCTGAATAGCATTCACATCTATGATACACGAGTATCGTTTTTCGTTTCTCTCTCCTGGTTCATCTGGTCTCGTCTCCCCTCGTCCCAGCCTGGCTCGCTGTTCGAACTCGATTCGAAGCATCCTTAGGCCGTTGTCGCGATGTCGGTGAGTTCTTGGATTATTTTACTTGGTATATTCACACTTTGAATCCAACTGATATCTCGGATGTGGTGCAGCATAGCACGGCTTCTCTTTCTGCAGCGGTTTCACGTTGCGAGGAGGCAAACTCGGGTTCAATCCCCGGCGTCCGAGTAGCCCACTCCTCCTCACTGTTTTTGCTTCTGTCCTTCTAACTTCGGTGCTTCGTCCTGACCCAAAATGCAAGCCTCAGGAGTCAGGACGTTCAAACTCGATTCGAAGCACCAGTTGTTGCGATGTCGGTGAGTTTTCCGGTTATTATACTTGGTTGGTGTATCCACTGACTGAACTAGGGTCGGTACGTCGGACGTGGTGCAGCGCAGCACGACCTCTCTGATTATTGTTTGTTCGAAATCATGTTGAGAGGAGGCAAACCCGGGCTCCATTCCCGGCGTTCGGATCCCGCATCACCTCTAGTGCTCTTTTTCATCCTCTCATAATTTTTCATCCTCTCATGAATCGCCTCGTCCCGTCTCCTTTCGTCCTAGCTTGAGGTCGCGTCGATTCAACTCGCTTCGTGGCATGCAATATCGGTGAATTCTTGGATTATTTTACTTGGTATATTCACACTTTGAACCGAGTAAATACCTCGGATGGTGGTGCAGCGCAGCACGGCTTCTCTTTCTGCGGTTCAGTGGTGTGTTCACCGACTAAACTGGATGGACATGGTCGGACGTGGTGCAGGGCAGCACGGCTTCTCTTTCTGCGGTGGCATTTATTCACGTTTAGAGGAGGCAAGTCCGGGTTCGACTCCCGGCGTTCGAATTCCGAATTTGGCAGTAGTGTTTTTTTCTAGACCAATTCCCTGGGGGTCAAAATCGGATCGGACTCCAGTTGATCATTCGCTTCATATCCTGTCTTTGAAATACATACCCGCTGAGATCTAGAACTCGGATGTGGTTCAGTTCAACACGGAGTTCGGCAGGACTCGGCAATCACATAGCACGGGCAAACAAAAAACCCCTCGTGCTCTTCTTCCATGTCCACCGTCCCTCCAGCAGATAGCACCTCGCCCTCAACCACCGACGCGGTCTCTCATACTCCCGTCGAGGGTCTTTGGTTCAACGACGGCACTCTCGTGCTCCAGGCAGGTTCCGCCGCATTCCGCGTTTATGCTGCGCTCCTCGCCGAGCGCTCGCTAGTGTTCCGCGATATGCTCCAGTTCCCTCAGCCAGACGATGGCGATTCTATCGAGGGGTGCCCCGTCGTTCAGCTGTCCCACGATGAGCGCGACCTGGAGTGTTTTTTGAAGGCATTATTTGACCTCGAGTGAGTCTTCATTCTTTTCGTGTCCGATCCGTACTTCTGACCTGCTGTTATTCAGATTCTTCCTCCCGTATCCAGCCAAAACCGACTTCGATACCATCTGCGGGATAATCCGACTCAGCACGAAATATCAAGTGGACGTCCTGCGGAAAAGAGGGCTGGTCCATTTATCGTCGGCATTTCCGAGACATCTCCCAGTACTCGACGTGGTACGAAACTACGTCTTGGAAACTCGAAGATCTCGACGAGTGGATTCGGGTTCTTTTATTTGGCCAGGAGCTCTCTCTCGACTGGATCTTGCCCATCGCCTTTTATCGAGTGGTGGCAGGCGTCCCCCCACGCCAAATAATGCATGGGATCATTGTAGACGGCGGGATTCATCTGGAACTCAGTGCTACTGATAAACTACTCTGTTTGGAACAGTCCATCGCACTTAGAACTTCAGCTTCCTCCGCCATTCTCTCCTTCCTCTGGGAACGCCCGGACGCAGATTGCACCAACTACGACGGCTGCAATGAGGTGCGCTTGGATGCATGCAAAACCGCAGAGCAGCAGCGATTAGAACGTGTCCCACTTCGGTTGTGGCAGACGGAAAATTGGGAAATTTTGTCGTTTGCCTGTGCCACTTGCCGAGCAAGTATGAAGAGCGCGCATGCGAGGGCTTTGCAGAGCTTCTGGGACGGCCTGCCGCAGAGGTTTGGGTTGGCCGACTGGACGGTGTTGGAGCAGATCAAGGCAGCCGCGCTAGCTTGAGTACTCACAGCTCGATATGTTCTTCTAGATGTTCAACTATTCCAACTGCGAACCCGCAAATTCTTACACTTTCTTTTGGACGATATCCGTAGCGGCCGGTGTTGTGAGTGAAAGAAAACCTTGTGCGTGAGCCAATTGTCTCACTTGATCTTCATGCGACGCTGAACTCAAGTTCATGGCGCGAATGCTCGGTTCTTGCTGGGTTGGTTCTAGGTGATTGGAAGGAGAGATCTAGACTCACGTCGAAAGTCAAGGTTCCAAGCCCGTAAGTCTTCTCCGTTTCACCTGGTGTATTCAAATGCTGAATTAGGCACGTATCTCGGAAGTGGTGCAACACACGGACAAGGGCGGTCGCCCTATCTTGCCCGGTGGCTTACCTTTTATTCATTTTCTCATTCAGTTCGAGTCGGCTCATAGCGTTCGACAAATATCAGGTAACTTTTCCCCGCACTATTCCTGCCAGCTGAGTCCCCTTCATTCTGACTATTTCGTTTCACGCACCACTGAACCCATCCAGTGGGATCACCTGATGTGCTGCTCCAAATTCGCGAGATAGGTTTTTTAACTGAGCGGCGGGGACACCACCGGCCCCCCGACCGTCATCTCCAACTAGGCGCTATTGCTGCTCCGCAAGGGCGACACCACCGCGCCCTGCACGCAGCCCTCTTCTCTCCTGCCTTCGAAGCCAACTGACCTCCGTACGTGTGCTCTGCAGTCATCCTCGCGGGGGAGCATTGACATCACCGTGCCCAATGTCCTCTGGCACCGACTATGAGTTCGTCTGCGAGTCTCCGTCCCTACTTGCTCCCAATCCACATTTCCTGACGGCAGCCACCTCGGCAGTGTTCGGCGACAGCGGCAATTTCTCACTGAGGTTCACCATCCAGAGCGACGTTCCCACCGCTGTTCTGGGCGCGTGATCTCATAAGGCATATGTACATCTGCTACGAACTTCCACTTACCTGCAGAGGGGCCTTGGACTGAATGTGATTTTGTTTTTGATGCCGTTTGTTCTGCTACTATCGTACTTGAGCTGCTGTTCTCCTGCCGGAAGTTCACTCAGCCCATTGGGCTCTTACTCAGGGAAAAGAGATCCGGTCGTGCTCATGAAAGGCCCAGGGCCCCGCATTCATGCGGATGTGAGTATAGCCCAGGCCCGATTCTGGGAAGAGCCATAGAGGAGCGCTTGTTTCGTCTTGGGTGACCTAAAAAGTTCCCAAGAACCGGAAACAAAAATGTTCCCAGAATCTTTTGGGCGCATGCCATTGAGAGTCGGTATTTCAAAGTGCTCGGGTTATTCCGTGATTACACCGCCACCTTCCCACGGTTGAGTTTTTTTTCGTTCTGTTTATATTCAACCTCGCTGATCTCCATAACCTTGAAGCTCTGTTGTGGGCTCGGGATGGCAAGTCCCAAGAGATTAATGCTGTTTAAAGCCAATTTTCAAGGCGATCCCTCTTTGAACATTAACATGCCAACATTTTTCGAGTAAGCGGTAGCTCCGACGGCGGCCAAATATTCTATCTGCCGGCGGCAACCTCCGGTGGAAATGAGCGAGGGCCTCCCGAGAAGATCTTCGGGCGTTATGCGTGATACCACTTTCATTCAATCACCTTCCGGCCTCCGTATCATTGGAATCGAATTTACCCACTCCTTCTCCTCACCCAAATACGCCCCTTAGGCCCAGGAATCCTAAGCATCCCAAAGGCCATATCCGGCGGGCGCTTGCCCTCCGTCTCCGCCTTGACGTCGTAGTTGATGAGGAGGTGCGCGAGCATCGCTTTGAGCTCGGTGGCTGCGAAGAATCTGGGTAGTACGCGACGTCAGCGTCCTACTTCCTCCGCTGCGAGACGAGACGAAACAGGGAGAGGAGCACGACGGAGAGGGTATGGAAAAGGAGAGGAAGAGGGGGAGAGCGCGGAAAGAGGCATGAACGAGGCAGAGGGAGGGACGCACCGCCCAGGACACGCATGCCGCCCGTGCCCGAATACGACGTGCTCGGGCGCCGTGGAGACCATGTGGCGGTTGAAGAAACTGCCCTCTTCCGAGTCTTCGACCTTCGCAGCGGCGGATCTGGCGCCGTGCTGCAGCTCGCGCACGCGCGAGAAGCGGAAGCCGTCGAATGTTTCGGCGTTTTCGTAGTTTGCTGCGTGGAGGTGTCAGAACGAGAGGAGTTGCGGCGCAGAGAGGAATTGGCCAGCGCATGAGAGGCAGGAGGAGGGAGCACGCACCCTGGTCATAGTGCGTGCTGGTGCCGGGCACGCTGAGGAAGGCACCGCAGGGGACATTGGTGCCGTCGGAGAATGTGAAGCCGTCCCTGGCGACGACTCGGCGAGTCATCGCGACTGCAAAGAAAGACCGAACATTCAGGTTGAGAGACCTTGGGGAGATGAGGATTGTAGTACGCACTCGGTCCGGTCCCATTGAGCCGCTGCGACTCGCGGAGGAAGCTGTCGATCTTGTACATGTTATTCAGCGCGACCTTCGTCCAGTCCTCCTCCGCCACGACGCGTTCGGCCTCCTCCCGCATGGGGAGGAAGTGCTCCGGGTACGCGGCTAGGTCGTATAGCGCCGCCGTGAGAGTCTAATATAACCCATTTATGAGTATGAAGAGGCTTCGATGGGGAAGAGGTTGCATACCGTCGACGAGGTGTGGATCGCGGCCATGTTCGTGGCGAGGATGCGCAACGCTAAGGCCGGGGCCGTGCGCTCACTTGCGTCCGCGAAGTCGAGGAGCCACGAGATGAGGTCGTTCTGTATTTTACACCGTCAGTGTATATCACAGCGAACCCCGCGCCACCTCGACGCACCGGCCTATCCGCCCAGTCCTGCCCATACTGCCTCTCCTTCTCGAGCCGGTCCTCGAGTATCGGGCCGAGAAATTTGAGCGCGTGGCGGAGGGAGCTCTTGCGCGTCGAGAGCAGGGGCGCGACGAACGGTTTGAGGACGCTCGGGAAGAGACCGATCATCTGGCCGCGGGTGAAGATGGTGACGGTGTAGTCGATGTTGAATTGGAGGTATTCCGGGTCCCTGCCTAGATAAATAAAGTTAGACCTCGCGGTGCACCCGAGAGTTGAGATAAAATACAGCTCACAAAGCGGACGGCCGACGAAGAGGCGGTTGCTGGTGCGAGCGACGACTTGCATGGTGGTGGGAAGGACTTCAATGAGCTTCCACTCTGACATCCAAGGTCAATGATGCTCGTGGGAGAAGTGAGATTAATGGACGTAGGACGTATCCTTACTCTCCCCGAAAATATGGCTGAACGAGTGGACAATCTCGTCCCGCACCTCGGGAAAGCAGCGCGCCAAGTTCCTCGTTAGACTGCTGCGAATCGCCGAAACGTGATACGGGTTGTCGGTGATCGCCGCCCCCATGGTGAAACGGCTTTGCAGACCCTGGTTTCATTAGGAAGAATTAACAACTTGAGTTGCGAATGAACTAAGCACTGTAGCGCACCTCCGCAGCCCCCTCGTGAAAGGAAAGAATGTGCTCCGGTGCCGACCCGATTTCCAACAGGCGCTTCTTCCCATAGGCAATGTAGTCCCACCGAAAGAGAGTGGGGAAGCGGTAGACGTCGTCTCGGCCGGAGTAGTAGCCGTCGGTGATCACTTCCGTGGCGTTTCGCAGGATGTTCACCGCCGCTCCATACGACGAGAGAACGCCGTTGGATCCGACAAGCGCTGGGACGGGACTCTGGGGGGTTTGGATTAGGTTTTCAGGATTCTGATCCGCAAAGGCCAGGC